ACTGTTCTAAAAACCTTAGCACAAGCAAACTATGTGATCATCAGATGCTCTTGTTATTTGGTAATGCATTCACATGTGCTCAGCCCATTGGTTATGTTCAAAGCCAAAACAGCTTAATTCTCCATGTGTACCCTCCTGGGCTGTTCCAAGGACTTGAAAATTTCGTTTGTTTTTCTTTCTTTATTTTCCTGTGCCCTTGTACTTATCTCTTTTTCTCTTTCTTTCATTATCTCTTCCATTCTTTTTGTTCCTGCCTTTATCACACCAACTTCCTTTTTCTACCTAATTTGCTTTAATTCACCCAGTTCCTTTCTCTGTGTGTTTTCCATTTCAATGAAGGTGACATGCTTTTTAATTTATCAAGAGACTTCCCCTGAAGGCTTATTGTGTTTTGCCCTGAATAGGGACTGGTGATAACTGTTTTTGGTCACCAAAAAGAACTCCTTGGAAATGTCAAAAGATATTAATACTATTTACATTTACAAAGTACAAAGCAGCTGGTGAAATTTAGTAGTAGGTAATTACTTGTTTTATAAAATGTAGAGGAGTGACCACAATGATCACTCTTCACTTCCTGTAAGAGCCAACTTTAAAATGAAATAGAGGAAGCATTGCTTAGTGAAGTCCAGCTGGGTTCCATATCAGCTTTGTCCTATGCCACCTTGGAAACATAACCTCACTTCAGTGAACTCTGACTTCCTTGTCTGTTGAATAGAAATAGTAATATCTTCTTGCAAGTTGTTATGTGGATGAAATGAAAATATGTTGTCATCCTCCAAACTACCAGAGTAACATTAATTCATTCTTTCACTCATTCATTCATTTGAGGATGTGTGTTAGGCATTGTGAGCACAACAGTGAACAGGGTCTTGTGAATCACAATAAAGATTTTGCCTTTTGTCCCCAAAGCATTTAGAAGACTATGAAAGGAACTAAACTAGGGAATAATTTTCCCTTTGAATTTTCTGGGTTAAAATATCTGGAGAAATGCAAGAATGCAAGTAGTATATCTGTTAGGAGGCTTTTAGAATTACGTATATGTGATCCCAGTGTTTGGAGGAAGTGCAAGTGGAGTCATAAGATACTTGACAGAATTGTTGAGCTTTCTGAATCAACTAGTGGGTATAAGATGGAAAGGTGGGGATTGTTATGCTCGAATTCGGGACCCCCAAAAGACCATCAGAGATCAATGTAAGCAGCAAAGAGGTGTTTATTAAGAGCTAGCTCAGTCCTCCGTGCGCACACAGCAACTGGTTACGCTGAGAGGCCCTGAGCCCAGGGTTTGCAGCAGTTTTATACACTCTTTGGGGAAGCCAGGGACTTCACATACATCATAGCATCTCTTAGCAAATCATCACATACCACGGGAAAATCATAAAACAACTCTAAAACATGATTATCACATTCACTGGTGGGAACAAATTGGGTAAGGGTGATTGGTTAGTACAAGAGGGGGATTCGTTTGAACTGATTGGTTTAAGCCACAAGGGGTGTATGTGCTGAACTACATGGTTTCCCAACATGTTATCAACCATCATAAACTACTGGGGGTCATCTGGCATCCCAGATATTTTCCCTTGGTGGTTGCTAGGGGGTTGCTATGGGTCCTCACCTAGACTGACTGAGTCAGGGACACCTGGTTCCACAGATCTCTCCTGTTATTTGTAGATAAACAACTCAGCAGGGTGGGTATGTGCCTAGAAGTGCTCTGTGGTCTTTCCAAGGACAAGAGTCACGCACCCTTCCTTGGACAGGCTTTGCTCTGAGGTAGAGGCTGGTTTTTCAGTATGATTACCCACCTTTGTTTTGGGCTTTGTTTAGATATTTGGATATGATGCTGCCATTTACCCCTAGACGGAACAGATTTGAAGGGGATGCCCATTTGTTCTTGCTTGGATATATTGGATCATATATTGGATATGATGCCTTTAAAACCTCCAACTAAAACTTTGTGGTGGGCAATTCAATATAGAAATCTGGACTAAACAAAAATTGTGAGAGTAGATATTAAAATATGTAGGCTTGACAAATGCACAGCAAAGCACTTAGACCAGACAGATAATGGTACAGAGCTTAGTCAATTCGAGCATGGAGATTAAGGGTAAAAGTCGGAGTGATATAACTGACCATCTGGAGGGCTGAATGTATCTGTATTGGCAGAAGTTTTAAAGCCACAGTGTCCAAGTTCCCCCAGGATTCCTTGGGTAGCTTATTTAGGGCAATGTATTAGCTTTCCGTTATTGAGACAACAGACCTCAGACAATCAACTTATAAAAAGGAAGACTGTGTTTTGGCTCATGGTTTCAGAGGTTTTGGTCCATGATCTGCTGGCTCTGTTGCTTTGGGCATGCAGTGGGTAGAACATCAGGGTGGCAAGCAAGTGGTGGAGGAGATGGATACTTCATGGTAATTGGGAAGAGAGAGAGAGAGAGAGAGAGAGAGAGAGAGAGAGAGAGAGAGACAGACAGACACCAGGGTCCCAAAATCATCTTCAAGAGCATGCCCCCATAACCTAACTTCTTTCCATGAAACCCCATCTCCTAAATATTCTATTACCTCCCAATAGGACCATAGGTTAGTTGACCAAGCCTTTAACACATGTTGTTTGGGGACATTTAATATTTAAACCATAGCAAGTAGGGTTCAAAACTACTTGAATCTTGATGGAACCAGACCTTGGGCATAGTTACTTCTCAGAGAAATTGAAAAAAGGAAAATACAATCCCTTCCTATTCTTTCCTATTTATCTATCCATTTAACTCCCCACAAATATTGCATAAATATTTGCATATCTTTTTAAAATTTTTTATTTGTTTTAATTAGTTATACATGACAGTAGAATGCAATTTGATACATCATATATAGATGGAGTATAATTTCTCATCCTTCTGGTTGTACATGACATAGAATCCCACCAGTCGTATAGTTATATGTGTACATGAGGTAATAATGTCTGATTTATTCTACGATCTTTCCCACCTCCATACTCCCTCTCCTCCCTTCACTCCCCTCTACCTAATTTAAAGTAACTCTATTCTTCCCTAGCCCTCCCTCCTTATTGTGAAATTAGCATCTGCATATCAGAGAAAACATTCAGCTTTTGGTTTTTTGGGATTGGCTTATTTAACTTAGCATGATATTCTTCAGCTCCCTCTATTTACCAGCAAATGCTATAATTTCATTCTTCCTTAAGGCTGAGTAATATTCCATCACATATATATGTATATACCACATTTTCTTTATCCATTTATCAGTTGAAGGGCATCTAGGTTTGTTCCACAGTATAGTTATTGTGAGATGAAGTGTTATAAACATTGGTGTGATTGTATCACTATAATATCTGTAATATGCTCCTTTTTAAGTTCTTTAGGTATAAACTGAGGAGTGGGATAGCTGGGTCAGAGGTGGTTCCATTCCAAGTTTTCTGAGGAATCTCCATACTGCTTTCTATAATGGTTGCACCTGTTTGCATTCACACTAGCAATATGTGAGTGTACTTTCCCCCAGCCATCATCACCAAGATTTATTGTTGTTTGTATTCTTGATAATTGCCATTCTGACCAGAGATGACATTTTAGAGTAGTTTGATTTGCATTTCTGTAATTGCTAAAGATGTTGAACACTTTTTTTCATATATTTGTTGATTGATGGTATTTCTTCTTGTATGAAGTGTCTGTTCAGTTCCTTAGCCCATTTATTGATTGGGTTATTCGTGTTTTGGGTGTTAAGTTTTTTTAATTTTTTAGTTCTTTAAATATCCCAGAGACTAATGCTGTATCTGAGGTACATGTGGTAAAGATTTTCTCCTATTCTGTAGCAGGTTATAAAATCAATGCTCATAAATCAAATGCACTCCTATATATCAGTGATGAATCTACTGAAAGAGAAATTAGAAAAACTATCACTTTCACAATATCACCCCCTCCCTAAATGAAATACTTGAGAATCAAACTAACAAAAGAAGTGAAAGACCTCTAAAATGAATACTACAGATTTTAAAGAAAGAAATTGAAGAAGGTTTTAGAAGTTAGAAAGATCTCCCATGTTCTTAGGTAGGCAGAATTAATATTGACAAATTGGCCACACTACCAAAAGCATTATACAGATTAATGTAATTCCTATTAAAATCCCAATTATACCCTTCATAAAACTAGAAAACACATTCATGAAATTCATTTGCAAAAATAAAAGACCCAGAATAGCCAAAGCAATCCTTAGCAAGAAAAATCAAGCAGGACGCATCACAATACCAGACCTTAAGCTATACTATAGAGCAACAATAACAAAAACATCATAGTATTGGCACCAAAACAGACATGTAGACCAATGGTACAAAACAGAAGACACAGAAAAACTCATGTAAATATAGTTATCTCATACTAGACAAAGGCACCAAAAACATTCACTGGAGAAAAGAAAGCCTCTTCAACAAATGGTTCTGGGAAAATTGGAAATCCATATGTAGCAAAATGAAATTAAACCTCTGTCTCTCACTTGCACAAAAATCAACTCAAAGTGGATCAAAGACTTAGGCACTAGAAAAGAGACTCTGTGCCTAATAGAAGAAAAAGTAGGCCTAAATATTCACCATGTCAGCCTAGGATTAAATTTCCTCAACAAGACTCCTAAAGTGCAAAAGTAAAATCAAGAATCAATAAATGGGATGGATTCAAACTAAAAAGCTTCTTCTCAGCAAAGGAAACAATCAATAATGTGAAGAAAGAGCCTACAGAATGGGAGAAAATATTTCCATATCTTTAAAACACACTTTCATAGCAAATTTACGAACAGAGAAAAAGCACAGAAAATGATATATTTAAATAAAGCCAACAATTGGTACAAAATTAAATAATTTTTATTGTGTGAAATTTTGAAAAAAGTGTTGGTTAGCTAATTATCCAGATTTTAATTCCCACTGAAATTATTTGTACATTGAGTAGAGAATTTTATTCTGCTAATCCATGAATATTTAATTACAATCTGCTTTTTTTACATTATAGTCTTATCTGCGACCAGAGTAATAAAGAATAAATAATAAGTGGAACAACATATGCAACCACTCACCCACCTGCTCGTGCAATCAAGGTAATGTAGTGCAGTAATTTACATTGTGGACCCTGTAACCAGGCTGTCTGGGCTTAAGTCCCAGCTCTGTCACTCACTGGCTGTGTGTGCTGGGGAAGGTCATTTAACCTCTTCATGCCTACTTTTCCACAGTTATAAAATGGTTGTAATAGTGGTTTCTAGGTCATAGGATGTCATGAAGATTAAGTGAGTTAACATATGTAAAGCACTTAAAATGAAGCCTGTTGTATACCAAGTGCTATATCTATTATCAGCACATGCAGAGACCCTTGTAGGAACCACATGGCTCTGCTCTCAAGGAGTTTGTAGTCTTAGTGGGAAGTTTAAACTAGGAGATGCTAGAATAAGGCAGGATAAGCCTGGTGAAGGCACACAGGAGGAGAAGTAAAAGTTTCAAGTCGACCTCGGATTTGAGACCTGCGCTATAAAGGGATGATGGCATGGACTTTTTGGGAAATACGTTTTGTGTATAAAAATTTTTAACATATAACTCTCATAATAATGAGAACATACTTATACACTGACTTATAATTTTCAGTGTAATGAAAATGCCTCAATTTTTTTGACTACTTTTTTATCTGCGTTATGAAATCAATATTTTGAAATATTTCTCTAGGACATTTGTTGGAGAAGAATCTCATAAAAATAAAACATTCTGCAACCTCAAAAAAAAAATAGTTAGGTAGACTGTTTTTTTGGGTCCAAATTTTATATATGTTGAAATTGAGGTTTGAAAGAATTAAAGTACTTGCCTAAAGTCACATAGCTGGTGCTACAAAAAAATCAACAGGAATGCCAGCCTCTGAATTGTGTATGGTTTTTAATTCTTTCATCACATATCTAGTAATACTGGAACTAGATGAAACCATGTAGTCATAGGTACAGACCACCTGAGTTTCTTTCCTCAAAATAAAATTTGAAAATTGCATGCTTTGGCATGAAAGGCTCGACACACCAAGGTTGTGCAGGTGAAGTATAAACAGAGCTCTCTGCATGTGGCTTCTATGGGTTTGCAATTCCATAGCATATCACTTGCCTCCAGGTTATATAAAAAACATCTGAGCCTCCTTATTCAATAGCTTCCCTTGGCTAGGATGCCAAGGCCTGTCACAGGGACATAAAGGGAAAGGGTTGGGAGATGTCTGCCCTTGGGTATGAGTGACTGAAGTCAGTGTGCAGGGTTTGGAGCCAAGGACAACTGTCCAAAGTCAAAGGCAAGCTAAGGTAGAAGGCAGCTGGGGCAGGTTGGGGTTAGTCACTGAGCTGCCTTAGAAATCCAGAAATCTACTGCCATTGGAGAGGGTAGTTCAAGGGTATGCAATGTCAATGAGTTAGAATCAAGATAAGGCCACAGGGAGTGGGAGAATTAAAGGTGGGTGGGGGTCAGGCAGGCAGTGCAGAGGACAGATCCGTATCAAGGAAACTGGATCTCTGAATAGGCTTCCTGTTCCTGCTTCTGAGGTTTGCTTCAGCAATGCCTTGGCAGGGTCTGCGACAGCAGGGCAGCAAGCCTGGTCTAGACTGCACAGGTGAGAACCAGCAATATGTTTATTTGGCTGAAGTGAGGCAGGCCAGGATGGAAGGCCAGCTGTTTCCCAGTGAGTTAACGGAAGACAGCCTTAGAGATGATAACAAATTCCCTTCAGTCCTAGGAGACCAGCCTCATAAACATGAATATACTAATAAAGATTGTACTTATCCAAACACCATGACTACTTCAAGGGGGAGAAAACACTTTAAAAGTATTTAATTTCCTAAAAGTTTCAGAGTAGACTTGGGTAGTTACTGGCTTTCAGTGGGAAGAGGAGAGGAAAACATAACGAAGGAAATATCATTTTCAGTGAATCAAAAACATATATTTTGCTGTCTTTGAAAATTGGGGATCTAAAAATAAAGGAAGAAAGTTAAAACCTTTGGAAAACCTCAAATATTTGGATTACTATACCGTTCTTCCAATTGCAAAACAGTGTATAATGTTGAAATAAAAGTAGATTTGAACGCCAACCTGAATTATGAAGTATCTGAAGATGTTGGGAACCTTCATTTATTAGTTTCCTATTACTATAGCAAAGTGCTTGAAAAAATTATCTTATGAAGACAAGAGGTTTATTTTGGCTCATGTTTTTGGAGGTTTCAGTCCAAGATCAAGTGGTTCCCTTGCTTTGGGCCTCTGACAAGGCATTTAGTAAGTGCTAAATTACTAAATGCCTGCTCTAATGCATTAACAATGTGGGAAGAAATTATGAACCCATGAGCTGAAGTATCATGCACAATATCATATGCACAGAATCCAGCAAAAGGCGGTTGTGGTGAAATATCACAAACCTACCTATGCTCTTCTTTGTTTGCAATCATGTGGCCAGACACATTTTGGGAACCCAGGAGCATTTTGTTACAACTCCAAGTTTGTGCTTCTGTGAAATGAGGAAGCTATGTTTTCCACATTACAGTTGGCCCCAAATATAGGTTCACTTCCTGGTTAAAGCAATGATTACTGTGTTGAACAGTGAAATGTATAAAATACTTTAGACTTTGGTGTCAAATGCAGATATGTAACTGTCAGAGAGAACATCATTATTTGGGTCCATAGTTTCTTCCCATATTGTTAATGGGTTAGAGCAGGGCTTAAGGATGAAGATTAATTCTGATTGCTGGGGTTAACTTAGCTGACCTTACTAACTATGCAACTTGTAAAGTACTTTCTCTTCCAGGGACTTATGTTTCCTTTTCTACACAGTGGGGATAATGATACATTTGGCTCTCCCTATCAGAACAGTGAGGATAATAACATAGTTGGCCCTCTCTGTTGGGAGCTTCTATATCCATGGATTCAATCAAGATCAGATGAAAAATAATTTTTAACAAATTGCTTCTGTACTTGGCATGTACAGATGTTATACCTTGTCATTATTTCTTAAACAATGCAGTAAAATAACTATTTACATGGGATCTACATTGTAGTAGGTGTTATAAGTAATCTAGAGATGATTTAAAGTATAGGAGGATATGCATATCATATGCAAATGCTATGCCATTGTACATATGAGGAACTAGAGCATTCACAGATTTTTATATCCAAAGGGGGTCTTGAAACCAATGTCCTGGAGATACCAAGGGAAGGCCTTTGTCCCTACCATTCAGAGTTATTGGGCACTTAAGTCTAACACAAAGTGCTTCACATATGGCTTGGCTACTTCTCTGTAGATAAAACTAGAGGAAATTAGTGGAAATGGATCATTAAGCATAATTATCTTTATTTCTGGTGGTCCCTCCCCCTTTTAAAACCTCCACTAATTGTAAACAGCATTTAAACACTGTTAGGATGGGAAAGTGCAAGGTACTCTTTCTGTTCTGTTTTGCCCATGTAAATAAATGACTAGTTCTTAGTGGATTAATGTGACCACTGATTTTTGAGAGAAAATGAGAAGAAATGATGAATATAAGAGACAAACAACTGAGATTAAACATTAGAGTTATTTTAATAAGATGTATTTAAGACTTGGGAAGGCTGAAGTAGCTCACTGTTAGAGCACTCACCGAGTATGTGTAAGGCCCCAGGTTTTAACCCCAGAACAAAAAAAAATTTAAAAAGGGGGCAGAGACTGATTAGGGGAAAAGAAAGAAAGCAATGATAGAAATGATTTGTTTTAGAAACTTAGAAAAGCTGTGGGTGTGTGTGTGGTGGGTGGAAGTTGGTATCAGATAACTTTATAGGCGATAACATCTACATTAAAAAGGCACATTTTTGGAAACTTGTACCCTGAACAGTATTTAATAGAGACTCATTTTTATATTGAACTGCTATGTAACACTTATTTTAGGATATCTTCATGAATTCTCCACAGGTAATTAATTTTGTGGAATATTGTTAGTTGGCCTGCTTCTTTCAGTCTTTTCCACCAGTACTGATAATATCAGGAAATTTTTAAAAGCTCATTAAGACATTTACTAGAAAATTCTATGTAGCTGGGCATGGTGGCACATGCCTGTAATCCCAGTGACTCAGGAGACAGAGGCAGGAACACTGCAAGTTCAAAACCAGTCTCAGGAACTTAGGAAGGCCCTAAGCAACTTAGCAAGATCCTGTCTCAAAATAAAAAATAAAAAGGGCTGGGGTTATTGCTCAGTGGTTAAGCACCCCTGGGTTCAATCTCCCAAAAGAAAAGAAAATTATATGTAGAAACAAAACAAAGCTCTTTACTTATACCTAGTTCTACCTCATTAGAAAATATAATGGAAAGAAAAGATCCCATTTAAAAATTAAAATAACAAAGTGTTATTTTAATAATATATATTTAAGACTTGGGATTTTAGTGGAAAGACTTTTGTGGGAAAAATGGCAGAACTTCACTGAAGTATGCAAAAGAGACACACACACATACACACACCAAAAAAAGAAAAAATGGCAAGATTAACCACATCCATGGATAGAAATACTCAATATTTTAAAAAATGCAAATTCTTTTCTACATAATCTACAAATTCAATGCAATACTAATTGCAATCAAATATAAATATAATTTTAAATTGGAACCTAACAGGAAAATTCTGAAAATTTTTATAATAAAGATAAAATAAAGATAGAAGAACAGCAAGGAAATTTTGAAAAGGAAGGTCAGAACAAAAGCATGCTAATAGCACTTGAAAGGAAATAAAATGAAGTTGTGCTTAATTAAAACAACGTGTTGTGGATATACAAACAGGTGAGTAGGTCAGTGAACCAGAGCAAAGGTTAGAAATAAATGTTCTCCTACATACAAATCTGGTGTGTAATGGCTCATGTGTCTAGATCAGAGTTGAAGAATCCTATTTAGACCATATCTGGTCTCCAAAGGGTAAGAGTAGGCAAACTCAGAATTTTTCAAGTCTGTTTTTATCAACTCATTGTCCAGTGCAAGTCACACAGGTAAGCATGGTCAGAGTAGCAGGAACTGTAGTGTTGTATGGCAAGGACATAGATGTAGGGAGAGGTCTTGAATTTGGGACCATTATTACAAGAA